GGCAGATACCAGAATTTGTATTAATTAGGGTTTTCCAGAAAAACAGAACCAGTAGCCTATCTAGCCTAACCTAGGTAGTCTGTCTAGAGAGATTTATTTCAAGTAATTGGCTCACACCATTTTGGGGACTGGCAAGTTGAAATTTGTAGAGTGGGCCAGCAGGCTGGAAATTCAGGTAAGAATTGAGGTTGCAATCTTGAGTCCAGAATATGCATGGCAGGCTCATGGGCAGGATTTATATGTTGCTGTCTTGAGACAGATGGTCCTTTGTGGATCTGATACACAGTCCAGCACACACTAGCCACCAGTGAACATGTGTGGAGTGAGGGAATGGATGAGGGCACGCCCAGCTGGGAGGCAGCATCAGGGAGGTGGGAGGCGTACAGACTCTGGGGTCAGGCTGCCTGGGTTGGGTTCGAGCTCTGTCACTTTCTATGTGACATCAGCTATGTTGCATAACTCTTCTGGGCCACAGTTTCCTGACTTTCAAAATGGCAATCATATTACCTACTTCATAGGAGTTTTCTGAAGACTAAATCTGTATAAAGTAGTTGGAACTTCATCTGGCACTTGATAAGCATTCCATAAATGTTAACAACTATTATGATGATTATTTGCTGAACCCAGACTGACATAGTATCCCACTGGGGAGAGGGGAAAGCATACCCATGATTATTTAATTTTCCTCTGAAAATTTTAGCTGCGAAATAGAAGACAAGGGCATATTTACTAGAACAATGGGGATAAACTGATTATTTTTAAATGGATGAAATGATTATTTCTCTAAAAGAAGCTAAATGAATCAGCCAAAAGATTTTTAGAGTCAATAATAGCAGCAAGATGGCATATGTAAAAGAAATGCATGATAATCAGCATTATCCAATTACAAAATACAGTGGTGGAAGGAGGGAAGCTACCAAATTTAAGAGACCTTTTGATGGATGTTGTCTATGCATTGATATTTGATGTAGATAATGAAAACATGGATATCTTATAATTCTTGAATTCTTAGGATTAATCTTATTTGGTCCTGTTTTCTTATATTCATGTATTTTATATTTTGGTTTGCCAGTTTTTTAAAAAAGATATTTCCATCTTAATTTTTTGTGTCCTTTTCTGTTAGATTTTAATATTGAGGTTAAACCAGTTCCTTAGAAAACCTGGGACACTTTTTATCCTCAGTAAACGCTGGGGAAGGTTCCGAGTGAGGCACGTATGCAGCAGATGGCAGGAGGATGCGAATGACGTGGAGTCAGGCTCTCTGCTGTCAGCCCAGGTCTGTTGCCATCAGCCACATGACTTTACGCAGGTTATGTTATTACTACAAGTTTTGCTTCTCTGCCTGCAAAATGGGCACAGCGGTGGTACTCACTCCAAGGGTGGGAGAAAGTCGGGGTGGGGGGAGATGAAGGACAGTGTCTGTGGACCTGGGTGCACTCACCACCCCGTGGCCTCTGCCTTGGCAGCCCCTCTCCTTTGCCGTGGGATCTCCTGGGATCTGGCCCCTCATCCTCTGTTGAGGGGCTCCCACAGCCTTCAGCCTCAAATTCCACTCAGATTTCTTCCATCATTGGATTCTGTGCAAAGGGGCAGACAGGGAAGGGGGTGGCAGTATCGAGACAGAGGATTTATAAGTGATAAAGACAACTTAAAAATATATAGGCCTTTTTTTGTTCTGTGCTCTCTTAAATTCCCTTCGGGTTTAACTTTATCAGTCTAATTGCCTGTTTTCTCAATATACAAGCACAGAAAAGATGGCACCTCCAGAATGGTGGGCTAGTGGCTTCCTCAGAAAGACTGTCTTAGCTTTTATACAGGTGCCCACATCCCTTGTGACCGTGGGACTGGAGAATTCTGTGGGAAAGCTGAAACACCTCCTCCAAATGAACCTTTGCAGTTGTCTGAATATAAAAGCAGGGGCTTTCAATGGACCCTTCTGAACTTCTCCAGAACTCCTGAGGAATTCTGAACTATTTTCTCCTGCCGTCCTGTGCTTCCTCCTCTCTGGGCATCTCAAGCATGTATTTTGTCTATCGTTCATTTATTTTTGACTTATAACTGCTGGTAACATGAGTTACAAAAAATCTTGCAGGTTAGAGAACTTTGGGTTTGCTGTTTCCAATGGTTAGGGTCTGGCCTCTTTCAGGGGCTCACTGGTTGCTGCTCCCAGCTCTGCCCCATCTCAGCTCTGGGGAGACTGCACTTAATGGGATCTTTCTCCCTAGTATGACCATAGGAGTGGAAGGAGTGTAATCACGAGGAATGTCTAGAGAAATTTAAATAAAATGAGATGGGAAAGGAATATGTTCCAGATGAAGGGTCAAGATAAACTCCCAGAAGAACAATTAAATGAAACGGAAATAAGCAATGTACAAGAGAAAAGAGTTCAGGGTAATGGTTGTAAAGGTGATCCAAGAACTCAGGGAATGGATGCACAGAGCGAGCTGTTACAAGACGTTTTAAACAAAGAGTTAGAAAATATAAAGAACAACCAAGTAGAGTTGAAGAATACAATAATTTTAGTAAAAAAAAAAAAGCTAGAAGGAACAAATAGCAGAATAAGTGAAGCAGAAGAATGAATCGGTGAGCTGGAAGACAGAATGGTGGAAATCACTGCCAGAGAACAGAATAATGGATAAAAAGAAATGAGGACAGCCTCAGAGACCTCTGGGAAAATATCAGACGCACCAACATTTGCATTGTAGGGATCTCAGAAGGAGAAGAGAAAGGGCCTGAGAAAATATTTGATTAGATAATAGCTGACATCAGAAGGGAAACAGTCACCCAAGTCCAGAAAGCACAGAGTCCCAGGCAGGATAAACCCAAGGAGGAAGATCCTGAGACACAGAGTAATCAAGTGGACAAAAGTTAAAGACAAGGAAAACTGTTAAAAGCAATAAGTAACATCTACAGCAATCTCCATAATGCTGTCAGCTGACTTTTCAGCAAAAACTCTGTAAGCCAGAAGGGAGTGGCATGATGAGAGGGAAAAACCTACAAACAAGAATACTCTACCTAGCAAGGCTCTCTTCAGATTTGATGGAGAAATCAAAAGCTTTACTGATAAGCAAAAGCTCAAAGAACTCAACACCACCAAACCAGCTTTAAAACAAATGCAAATTGAGAGAGTAACATTGAAACATATACATTACCATATATAAAATAGATAGCCAGTGGGAATTTGCTGTATGATTCATGGAGCTCAAATCTGATGCTCTGTGATAACCTGGAGCAGTGGAATGGGGTAGGAGGTGGGAGGAGGTTCAAGAGGGTGAGGACATAAGTATGCATGCGTGCGTGCTAAGTCACTTCAGTCGTGTCTGACTCTTCGTGACCCTATGGACTATAGCCCGCCAGGTTCCTCTGTCCTCTTTCCAACCCAGGGATCGAACTCACATCTCCTGTGGCTCCTGTTTTTTGCAGGCAGGTTCTTTACCACTGAGCCACCTGGGAAGCCTGGACATATGTATACCTATGGCTGATTCATGTTGATGTATGACAGAAACCAACACAATACTGTGAAATAATTTCCCTCCAATTAACAATAAATCATAAAAGCAAATGCTGAAGGAAGTTCTCTAGGTGGAAAAGAAAAGGCTATAACTAGAAACAAGAAAATTACAAAATGGGAAAGCTTACCTGTAAAGGACTGTTAAGAGAGAAAAGGATTTTTTGTGCATGAAGAAGATAGTTTTGAAGAAGTCTGTGTTTATAGGAATCTCAAACTTGTCTTTGAAGATGGGTCAAGTGTGTATTTGTAAACTCAAGACTGGTACCGTGAACATAGCAGAAGCAAAAAGGAGGGACTCGTGGGCATTAAATGGACTGTGAATGCAGACTCTGTGCCTACAAGGAGATGCCGGATAGAGACTGCTCCATATTTTTGTAGGACCATGTGAGTGATTTTCTTTTCTCCTTTAAAAGAACTTAAAAAAGTTTTTTTTTGAAACCATGCTTTCCCCTCTTACCTGGTCTCAAGAATAAAACATATGATCTGGTACTACAGTTCCTGTGACTTCATATTTATAATATCATGTGCCCTGGTGAGATTTATGTCCCCTTGTCTTCCAGCGCAACCACAAAACCAGGAAACGGGAAAGCCCTGTGAGACTCTGTTATACACGGAGCCCTGAGGGGGAGGGCTGAGTGTGGCCTGCAGAGTGATAGGGAGGGAACTCAGCTACTGAGACACCGAGCTGATTATCCGCTCCTGTGATGGTTCCTGGCTCTGTTTAACCTGGCTTCCCTCTTTTTTCCCAAAGCTCAAAGCCTTTTCTACACCAGGAAGACGGAACTCATGTGCCACCCATATATCTTCTCTTACGTGCTCTGGGCTTTGGTTTTCCTCTATAAGAGTGGGCTGAGCGTTTGTGGGAGGAGAATGGGGGGTGGGGGCATCCTATATCTTCCTCTATAAGAAATGAAGTGAAAAGGAAGCAAAGGTGAGCCAAGGTGCGGTGTAAATTGGCATCCTCATGACAAGTAGCCTACATGCTCTCTTTACTGGACCCCATCTTCCTGTTGGAGCAATAGAGAAAAGCTATGTCTTGAATTGTCACACAGCAAAACAGTTCTTTCTGATTGCCCCACTAAGTGTGTCCTTCTGTATATCTGAAAACATGTAAAAGTAGCCATGGGAATGATCAAGCAGATTTGTTCTGTTACATTCCAGGGATTTCACTTGATGGGTACAGATTTTAAAAACTTCCCAACATGGTCAGGCATGAGTACATGTGTACATGAGTACAAATCCGGAGCAGACCAGATTTGGCAGTGAAATGCCTGTGCTGGTCTAATAGAGTCAAACTTCATTGTTTTATTTTCTGTAGTCCTGTGACATCACAGTATTTCAGGATAGAGAGTTATTCAGTGTGGGTTTCTGCTTATCTGGGGCCTCCCCAGGTGGGCGTGTCCACACCATCAGGTTGATTGACAGCAGGTAGGGTCACCTTGCCAACCCCTCTGACACCAATGAATGTTTTGTCTCCTGTCTCCATTAGGCGGGGCAAGAAGCATAGCATCATCCTAAGGACACAGCTGTCTGTGAGGGTCCATGCCTGCATCGGTGAGTGACATCTGCAGAAGGGGGTGCTTGCCATCTGCCCTTGGTGATTACACTTGTGATGCTTGATGCCACTTCTGGGAATAAAATGCAGTATTCACTCTTATGCTATCTATGCTTGGGTTAGTCCCTAGCACAGATGGTTAGAGTTTTTAGGGAAGCAGTTTCTGGCAGTTGTTTTTGAAAGCTACTTCTTTCTTTCTGGCTTTCTTTGCTGTTTGGCTGGTGAGCAGAGCTGGAGGTAAGATGGATTGTTGATGAGATTCTTTCTGGCGATGTGGGCAGAGATGAGGTTCTTTGTGGGGCTGTGCCAGGGTGAACCTCCAGCCAACTGAAGTGACCTTCATGTGCCTCCTAGTGACTCTCTGCAGCCCCCTGGCCTGTGGTCTCAGGCTATTGAAAGGGAAATCAGGTCAGTACAGGACGGACCACACGTGGATGCACAGCAGTTGATGTTGAGCAGATTATTTGTGGTTCAAATGGCCTGCCTGTGGTCACATAAGAAACCTCACCGGCGCCCATTCCTGCAGCCATTGATTTTCCCAGACCCACTGGTTTCTCCACTGTATGCGTGGGCTGGATGGCAATGAGAGCGGTAATTTATGTTAAGTAGACAGACTCCATGGGAAGGTTTCCTCCTGGCCTTGGGCCAAGTTGAGGCAAGTATGCAACATAAAAAGAAAAAGAAAGGACCTAAATTTTGCCTTGTGCATAGAAGTTTTCCACATCTGAGTCATTTTACATTTATTTAATATGTGTCATGTCTTAATTCAGGCCTCTAATTAGGAGTGCATCGGTCATCCTGCTGAGGCTGGAGTGTGGTGTGCATGGGTGCAGTGGAAGGAACTGTTTCCAGTCCCTCCTCCTCCTCCCTGCTTTCCAGTTGGAGACCCAGGGATGGGGTGAGGGAGCAGCTGACGTGGAGGGGAATCTGTGTAATTCTGTTTCATTTGGGGTTAAGTGGGTGAGGCTATGAGTGTCTTGAGGAACAACCTTTGTCTGACCCTGTGGTTGATGAGTAATTGTGCAGCTGACACAAAAACCTCAGGAGCTGGAGGGTCCATGTGTTGGGAGGGCGCATGATCTTGTTGGAAATGAAGTGAGAGAAATCTGTGGGATCTTCAGCACTGACCCTGCTTTTCAACTGCCTGTAGCACTGAGTGACCTTAAAATATGCACAGGCACTTGGTTGTATTTAATCATTTACTTCCTTGATTACCTGCTTTATAGTTTTTCCAACTATTTTATGTGTGTAAATCATGCCTACCTGTAGCAAAGTCTTGTGATCTATGACTTTGGATAAACTCCCTTCTGACCCTTGTCCTGAATCTAGAACAAAGCCAGGTGCATACAGTGGGCTGAATACAACAAATACTGGATACTGGTTGAAATATAGAAGATATCCAGTCAAATTTGGGACATGAGTGTGAATTGGTATTTCCTAGGAAGAGTAAGGCACCGGAAAGCAGATTTACATTAAAACAGGCTAGATCAAAGTCCTAATGGGCTAACTTGTTTTAAGAAAATTCACTTATTTGCAGTATACACTTAAAATAAATACAGGATTTTTCTAGCTAGCTGGCTTCCATATTACTGACTCACTGCATTAACTGATATATTGTTCCACAGTCCCTGGTGATACATGTAAGCACACATCTCATCCCCATGGCAGCTGAACCCCAGCAACCAGTCCAGCCCAGCCTGCTGTCTCCCCAGACACCCAGGTCTTCCTGCTCAAAGGGTAGAACTCAGTGTTGACAGGATCAGTGTGTTTGTTCCCAAACCTGTTTATGCCAATTGTACTTGCTATTAGAATTATGTAATTAAATGGGATGTGAACACTTTATAAACTGATTAAGTATGAGCATACAAAGTCACTGCTTTGAGTATGTTGAAAAAGATTCAAAATTCCTTACTATAAAAGCATTTCTAGTCAATGTGAGTGGGTTGTGATAACCATAAAAGGTGTAGTGTTATAAAAATCCAGAAGGATTCTGGTCTTTGTAAGTATCTTCAGTACTTGCTCTACTTCAAAGACACCAAGGTTGGGCATCAGAGACTGTATTATGTGAGTGGCTCATGAAAGAAAGTCCATGGGGAGTCCCACTAGACCTTTATTCAAAGAAAGATCATGGCCCTAAATGATGGGCAGGTGCATCTCCTGAGCAATGTGCCTGGCAACCAACTGTGTCTCATCCCGGAGAAACGGACAGTCGGTCACCGTGGCTGCAAGTCTTAAGGTGCACATGTGTCATTTTTAAAAGACTTTCTGCTTTAATCGCTTTTTACCATTAATTACCTCAGGCCTGAGTATATTAAATGAGAAGATCTGACTGTGTGAATTAACATCAGTACCCAAGACGGCAAAGTTTCTTCTTTGTTTTAAAAAACCCTTTTTGTCCTTCTGTTTCCTATTATTGACAAGGTGTGAAATAGATTTAATAGTGCAATAATAAGTATTATCCTTTGGTTTATGTTTATACAAAGGAATGAATGCATCCTATGTGTGGTGTACCAACTGCCATTGTGACATAGTTTTTCCCTTTCCAAATGGAAATATTAGGTGAGATTTCTTTGGGATTAAAAAAAAACAACAACAACCAAACCTGGAACAATCTTCAGTTGAAATGACAAAGGGAAACTTGACAGAAGGAAAAAACCTTTTCCACATCAGTTAGTTGAATCCCTGTTCCTTTTCAAGATCACTTCCCCTCTTCCCCATCCAAGAAATGGTTGAATGATTACAGGCATGGGACAGTGACTGCTGTCAGCCTAGCACCATATGCAGCTCCCCCCAAAACTTTCCTTCCCACCACACGATTGGACTGGAAGGATCCAGGATCCCCGTAGGCTAATGGGCTTAAAATGCTGTCAAGTGAATTTCTCCAAAGTCGTGTTTTCTTCACCCTAATTCTCTCCTCCTTCACCTCTGTTTTTGCTAAGTATAGAAATGTTTAGAATCCAGGACTGCTTGTTGATGAATTGGAGGGAACACGCCTTTGGAATTCTCCAGTTAACATTGGAACTCTGTACCCGTTGGCATGAGAGTGGAGTGGAGCCTTCATGATTAACGACCGAGAAAACCTCATGAGAAATGAAAGCCATGGGGGGCTGCTGTGATGGGCCCAGCCAGAAGCTGAGTCAGGGGTCTTTGCTGATAGCACAGCAGGAAGCTGGAGTGAGTTTTTGGTACATAGAGAGGCCCCATGCTCTTTGCACCTCTGGACTCCTCTCCAATGTATTACGTTGCACATTTTTAGTATGACCGCTCGATGTAACATAAAGTAGCAAACACTGTATGCCTTTGCCCTCACCTTCTTCTAGTTTCAGTCCCTCAAAAAGATAGTGGTCAGATTGTGGAGATGAAATTAACAGATACAAAGTTAAAAAAAAAGAAATCTATGACAGGCATGTGAGGTCTGCATTTAATGAAGTTAGCTAGAGAAAAAAACATTTCTGGTCCCAGCAAGTGATCCTGTTGCCAGAAGCCAGAAAAATGTTCAGAGGGCCAACTGGCCCTGATGACTAAATCTCATCATGAAGAGAAAAGGAGTGGAAGAACTGTGGGGCAAGGAATGGAATTGAGAGTTAAAAAAAAGTAAGGTTTGAAGTCATTAGGATCCTAAAGTTAATATCTGAAAGTCTTCTACGGGCTGTCTTTGAAGGCATTGTGTTTGACTTCAAACCTCTGTGCTTCAGTTTTCTGAAGCAAACCCTGTCTTCTGATCTAGCAAGTAAACCCTGTCAATTGAGTCTCTGGGAGCCATAGGGCTGACACTTTCAAGTATCCAGCATAGAGTTAAACAAAAGGATAAAAAATTGGCTGAAGATTCCAAAGTGCCATTTATGCTAGTAGTCAGGAGGAACAACCCATATGAAGGGTCTTTAGACCTTTTAGAGTGTGTTTCACCAAACCTCTGAGATGACAAAGGCTGCCTGTAAGAGAGAGGTGAGGTTGGCAGAAGCTGGCAAGGTGGCAGAAGTGATCAAGCTCTCCACGAGCTTAGTTTCATCTCTCATTAAAGGTCAAATCACAAGGATAAAGCCAATTTATTTATTTGTTTATTTTGGCTGTACTCGGTATTCATTGTTGCATGGGCTTTTTCTCTAGTCGTGAGCAGTGACTTCTCTTGTTGCAGAGCATGGGCTCTGGAGCACAGACTCAGTAGTTTCGGAGCAAAGGCTTAGTTACTCCCTGGCCTGTGGGATCTTCCCGGACCAGGGATCAAACCTGTGTCTCCTGCATTGGCAGATGAATTATTTACCACTGAGGCACCAGGGAAACCCACAAGGATAGAGAAACAACATAGGGAAAGGCTGTTTCATCCACTGATGCAGAAGAGTAATTTTTCAGCAACTGAAACACCAGCAGAAGAAAGCACCAGAATATTTGTAGAGTGTTTTCCTCTCCCGAGCTGTGCAGTGCAGCTGCATGCTTTGCATTACTCTGTTACAGCAGAGAGCTAAGCGATAGTGGAGCATTTATTCAAGAAGAACCTTCTAGAGCAAAAGTGACTGCAGCGATTCAGCTCACGTGCCAACAGATGGAGAGGCAGTGGCTCCCTGGGGCACGGTATTGAGAAGGATCCCGAGAATGGGTGCAGTCTTCTTGGGAGGGATCCTGTCTCAGTGCCGGCTTTCACTGGTGGTGATGGAGGTGGTGTGTGAGTGTGTGGTGTGGGGCTCTTGGTGAGGTGTAGACTTGGTCCAGTGTCTGAACCCCCTCTGGTTACAGGGTAGAGGGCCCTGGGCTTCCTCTGCAGAGAGTGGGGATGGAGCTGTGACCCACAAGTGCTGCCAGCACCAACTCCTCCCTTTCTCAGGTTCTTTCTTCTTAGACCTGTTAGTGTGAGCAAGAGGGCTTGGCTTCGAAATCCTGACTCTCCCTTTGCAGAAGGAGACTTCCAGTGACTGTTATTTGTTTTAGACTTCCTCCCTTTTATAATAAGTCTGTGACCCATTTTCGCCCAGAGTTCTGCTCTCTAGGTAAAGACAAGCTCTCT